TATATATATATTTATTTGGTGCATCAAACTTTTAGAGAGATTGTTTTCATATTTTACGAGGAATATATTTTGATAATAAAAAAAATACTCCTTTATTATTGTAAGAAGAGAAAAAAACCTATGCTCTTTTTTAATTGTTTGTGCCTTGCAGAATGTCTTTCTAATTTCACATAAACGACAAATCAAGGTGTAAGCAGAATAATTTAAAGGTCTGTTCAAAAAAATTAAAGGAAAAAAAAACACGCTTTTGGGCTTTTAATTACAATAATTTCTTGTAAGGTGCATGAATCCGAACATTCCCATATATACCTTTGTTGAGGAAGGGGTGGTGGGGAAGGTTTGCCATCAAAGCAAGAGGCCCATTGGCAATAGTGCAATTAAAAAATTCTTAAGTGAAAATTTAGGTTAAGAGTGGACAGAAACAACGAGTAGCAAGTTACACTGCATGGCAACTGACACGTTCCTGTTTAGCTCCAGACATAAGAAATAAACCACCACAATTTTTTTCTTCCTTCTAAAAACTTATAATTGAAAAAAAAGGTATATATATATATATATACATATATTAAACAGTGGTGTGAAAAGCACGAATAATTCCGTACTAGGAAATTTAACCCAGGATTCATTTCATGTCACTGAAGGCATCACTGTGCATCCATGATCAGTTACAGCTCTGTCTCTCTGGTAACTCAAACGATGTCGTGTCACACTTGAATTCTGTTTCATGGGATACTCAATGGGTTTCGTGTGCCCGTGTTCAAAATTTTCACTATTTCCCTGGTCGCTGTAAAATAGATAAATAAAATTGGGGAAGCAAATATATGTATGTATATATATATATCACACTAGGTAGCTCTTCACGATCAATATGCTAATGATATCCATTTTATACGAAGATGCACAGAAACATGCCATGCTTCCGTGTCTCCCTGCTCTGATTTAATCTATTTTTGGTGGTCCTACATCTCTGCACAACTTGTGGCATTCCCTTAAGCAAAACGTTCCAAGGGTATGAAAACATGTGCCTTATATTTGGTAAAGGTTCTCCGTTTTATCTTCTTTCCCTTGCACAATAGCAATACTATAATTAATCCCCAATCCCTCTCTCTAGGCTAACAATTGCATATAGCTAGATTCTGCTATACCCCAGAAGCTTATTGGGGTGAAAATTGAATTGATTTTCAGATTGGTATGCTAAATTGGGTCCATTTAGCTCTTTACAACAATGCAGTCTGCAACATAGTGATTTAAATTTGTGACCATGTGAACGTGTAAAACTGTAATACGGTTCAAAACAAAAACCTACAAGAGAGAGAGAGGGTATGATAAATTAAATTACCAAAGATTTCAGCACCAAGTTGGGTTTGTGGAGAGAAAGAGACAGGCAGGCAGAGGAGGGTGAAAGAGAAAACGAGAGAGAGAATGGGATTGAAAATCAATACGCCAAATGATGTCAGGAGAGAGGAGTGGTTAAAAAAATGATGTCACGTAGTGACAAAGGTTAACCTTTTTCACAGAAATGTAGGAGAAGATGTGGATTCACTAAACTAAAAGGGCAACAGGAAGAACTATCATCATTAATGATAAAAAGGAAAGGTGGGGAATCTTCTCTGCAACCATTACTTTTTTTTTCACCATTTGATTGAATGAATCAGATTTTTAGGGGCCAATTAGTTAATGGGAAACTTCACCTAATTCTACAGACAACTAGGATACATTAAATCTTTCTTCGTTTTTTCTAAAAACAAAAAAAAATCATTTTTTCTACCGCCTCTTACCTTGCATGGCTCAAACGTGTAGCATCCGATTTAATATATATATATATATATATATATA